TTCATTTTCCTGCTGAAGTGGGATGTAAACATGATCTTCTTAATTGGTCTCTGGATTTTTGAGCGCCGTCTCACCCCCAAAACGTTCCGAGCCAGGACTCAGCTCGGGGAAAGCCCCGCTAAGGAGCCAGGCTGTGGCAACAGAAGCCTCTGGAGTATCCTTGGCCTCTATTTTAAGACACATGTTTGAACCGAGGGGCCTGATTTACTCCCTGGCTGGCCCGCCCGCTGCAGCATCCCAGTGGCGTGTTTTGGGCAGCCCGGCCAGTTGTTCCTGAAATAGATGCGCTATGGCCACAGATTCAGAGGCGTCCTGTCCTGGGGGAAGGCTGGGCGAGGGTGGGGGTGGGGAGGGGGCCGGGGACTGGGACTGCTCTTGTGGTGGGCACCGGCTGTAGATCAGAAGCTGCTGCTGTCTGGGCAGCCTTGCTCCAAGCATTCTTCTGAAGCTTGTGAAATCAAGGGTGTAACGGCAGATCTTCCCTGGAGCGTGGCCTGCTGAGTTCCCCAGTGCTGCAGTAACAGAAATATCATAAATGGAGGGTTATCCAGAATGGGGATTTAGATTCTCACAACCCTGGACGCTGAAAGGCCACATCAAGGTCTCAGCCATGTTGAGCCCTTCTTTATAGGGCGCGCGTGTGTGTGTGTGTGTGTGTGTGTGTGTGTGTGTGTGTGATCTGCTCTTTCTGTAACTCAGAAGTGATTCAGATAAGGTTTCGAACCTACCTTACTTGGGTATCAGGGAATTCACAGACCACCTCATGGCCATCTAGCCTATTCCAACTAAGTGACCCTATAGGACAGACGGGGCTGGCTCCGGGGATGTCTGAGATTGTAACTGTTTATAGGAGCAGAAGCCTCGTCTTTCTTTTGCAGAGTACCTGGTGGTTTCAAACTGCTCGCCCTGTGGTGACCAGCCCAACACATAAGCACTCTACCACCTGAAGCAGTGGCGTCGTGGGTACAAGTGGGACTGCTAGCCACACAGTCAGCAGTTTGAAACCACCGGCCGCTTCGAGGAGAAAAAACTTGACGGTGAGTTGCCTAACAAAGTAGTCCCTATTTCCAAAGAGGATCTCAAGTACATATACGGGGATTAAATGACCCCAACACATAGTTTAGAATCCTGAACCGAAACTTCTGGAATATTTTAAAGTGCAGCACACAGTATTGCATGAAGGTCACGGTATAAACTGCGAGCCAGACGCCATGGAAGTCTTTGACTTGCAATGTCTTGCACACGTTGTCTTCTGGGGCAGTTTTACTGTGTAAGAGTCAGTGCTGAGTTCCGGTGATACCGAAGCGCCGAGCCACTTTGGTGACGCCCTGGTTTCCTCCTTCTAGAAAGTCCTCTTCGCCCTGTGTGCCTTGAATGCGTTGACCACCACCGTCTGCCTGGTGGCTGCCGCCCTGCGCTACCTCCAGATATTTGCCACCAGGAGATCCTGCATTGTAAGTCTGTGCCAAGAGGTGGCCCGCTTGGGCTCGGGCTCGGCTCGGGCTCCTGCAGGAGCCTTGGGCGGGCAGGCTGTTGACTCACTGCCATGCTGTTTAATTTAGGATGAATCCCAGGTGCCTGCTGAGGAAGCGGAAGAACACGGACGTATCCCAGACCCCGACGACTTCGTGCCACCCCTGCCGCCCCCTTCCTATTTCGCCACCTTTTACTCGTGCACACCCCGGATGAACCGCAGGTAGTGCCCCCGTCTCTGTGCGGCTGTGTGTGTGTGGGGGGGTGGTGGTGGTGGTAGTTCTCTCCGTAGGAGGACCACAGGCTCTCCTGAGCCACCAGGACATGAACTCTTGAGTTCTCTCTGAAATCCAGACAGGCTGTTGTTTCCCAAGGGTTTCTGTTCTCAAGTTCTCTCTCGCGCTCTCTTTCGCTCTCTCTCTCTTTGTCTGATCAACTGGTTGAAACCAAAGAAAAGTCAAGCCTAGATCTAAGGATACGCTGCCTCAATTTCAGTGATCTTTTCCTGGGTGGGAAAACTGACACCCACTAAGGTAATGATGAATTTGATATGATTGAAAGCTGCTGTTGCCCTGGAAACCATTCTGACCCCAAACCCTACCCCAACCCACACTTATTGTCACTGGGAGGGGGAGTCCTGCATGTGGGACAGACTAGCACTGCTCCACGAGGTCTCTGAGGGCGGGGTCTCCACCGAGGCAGCCTCACCTTTCTGCCGCACAGCACTTAACACCCTGTGCCACCAGGGCTCCTAGGGAGCCTATGCCACAAAACCAAACCCATTGGCAGTGTGCTGATCCTGATTCCCAATGACCTCACAGGACAGAGTAGCATGGCGCCCGAGGTTTCGCAAGATGGAAAATCTTGATGGGAGCAGACAGCCTCGTCTCTCTCCTCCTCAGCAGTTGATGGATTCAGTCCTTTCGGTTTGTAGCCGAGTCTTGACTGACCACACCGGGGCACCTTCAGAAATCCCCTCAGGGCCAAATCAAAGTGTCACCATGTGTTAGTCTAGTCTGGGTAGACTAGAGGAACAAATACCATGGACACACATGTGTGTCTAAGAAAGAGGTTTATATACAAGAGCAATTGAACATGGAGAAAACATCCCAGCCCAGTCCAGATCAAGTCCACAAGTCCGATACTAGCCCATATGTCCGATATCAATCCATAATGTCCTCTTCAGACTCATGAAACACATGCATTGATGCCAAATGCAGGACGATCATAAGGCAGTGGGTAGAAAGTCTTTGGGTCCAGTGGCGTTGTAAGCATCGCAGTGCTGGCAGGGGTCTCTCTGTGGCTTCTCCGGCTTCAGAGGTCTGGCTGCATCCATGTGGTTTGTCTTCTACAATGTCTCCCAGGGAGTAGCAGAGAGAGAGAAGTGTCTTCTGTCTCCAAGGAGGAAGTACCAGATTTCCCAGAATTCCCAGGAGAAGGCCAGGCCCACACAGATGTCTCATTGGCTATCTCCAGATTGACAGCCTAGGCTCCACCCCTACACTCTTCATCCTTCAATGGACACCAGATTAGGTGACGACCACAGACCACAATGCCCTTAGTAAAGTCACAACAACCATGCAGTTCTGCCCAGGCATGAAAAAAAGATTCACGATTAGTTGCATCTCCCTTGTCTGAAACAAATACGCAAGATGCTTATTTGTCTTTTGAAATTCAAGCGCAAAGCTTGACCATCTGTTTCTTCATGTCTTAAAATCACCGTGGGTAGAATGAAAGGCCGTGTGCTCTGTATCCTAAGTAAGCTGGTTCTTAGCCACTGCGGAGCATGTACATTTTCTAAAGAAGGAAGGGTGATGAGAATCCCCTTCTCACGTACTGTGGGCATGTTGCCAGGAGAGACCAGTCCCTGCAAAAGGACATCCTGTTTGGTCAAGTAAAGGGGCAGAGACAAAGAGGAAGGCCCTCGCTCGACACAATGAATGGGCACGGTGGCTACAGCCATGGGCTCAAACCTCACACCCGTTGTGAGGATGGCGCAGGACCAGGTGATACTTTTTCCTGCTGCACACGGGCTCATTCAGAGTCGGGACTGACTCGATTGCACCTCACAAGAACAACAACAAAGAAGGATTTTATTTATTCATTCAACAAACCTTTCATTAAGCCTTTGCCCCGTGCTCAGACCAAAAAATCAAACTCGCTGCCATTGAGTTCATTAGGACTCATGATGACGCTATAGACCAGGCTAGAGCTGGACCTATGTGTTTCCAAGACACTAACTCTTTATGGGAGTAGAGAGCCCCATCCCTGTCCCATGGAGTGACTGGTGGTTCTTAAACTGCTGACCTTGCTAAAGCAAGCGGCCCAACTCACAATCACTAGATCACTTAGTGATTCAGAAAAATGCTCAAACCAAAGTCACCGCCTTGATGTCGATTGATTCCTTGTGGCTCCCAAGGTGACCCAAGTGCCACTGTGGATTTCTGAGGCTGTAAGTCTTTTTGTGAGTGGACAGCCTCATCTTTCTCCCATGGGGCTGCGGTGGATTCAAACTGCTGACTTTGCCATACCAGATCAACATTTAACCCACTATGACACTGGGGCTCCTTCTACTCATTGAAATGAAAAATTAGTCCTACCCCCTCACCTCATCAAGGAGCTCCCAGTCTAGACCCACGTGGGCAATACTGCCCCCTGGGACATTGGAATGGTTCAACCAGCCAACCAACCAACCAACCAACCAACCAACCAACCAACCAACCGACCAACCAACCCAAATCAAGTTCACAGCCAATGAGTTGATGCCCACTCATGGTGACCTATGAGCTTCCGAGACTAATTCTTTGTGGAAGTAGAATTCCCTGTCTTTCTCCCACAGAGCAGCTGGTGGTTTCAACGTCAGCAGCCCAACTTGGGATCTGTTGGGGCAACAGTAGCAGATACCTACACTTTATCCTGGATTATGGCTACAGTACAAACATTTTCATTGGTGGGGGTGGGGGATGGGAAGGGCAGGACGCTGAGTAATTTTTTTTCTGTAAAGGGGGGTGGGAGGACAAATAAGTTTGGGGACTTAGGGTCTATAGCAAGGGTTGGCAAACTGCAACTTGCAAGTCCTACGCAGCTCTTTTGGTATGTACATGTGGCTTTGGAGTAAAATTGGTAAAAAAAAAAAAAAACCCCAACAAATTAAGGGTGTTAATCAGATAATGGTGATTTCATTAATCTTTTAAAAAATGTATTTATGGCTCTCAAATAATTTTAAAATTGTTGTTGTGAGGGACAGGATTGGCTCTTCTGTCTTAAGTTTGCCAACCCCTGGTCTAGACCTTTAAAATGAATGTCAGGTGAATCACATTAATTTTTGTGTGCGCAGAAGACTCCCCAGCCCGGGGCAGTGGGTGGGCTGTATGGGTGAAGGAGGGTCAGCCCACCAGGAATGGCTTCCTGAAAGAAGCGACCTTAAGCTAAGCTTAAAAGATAAGTAACCCTATATTTAAGCTTCTAAAAGAAAAGCTCTAAGTTCCATAGCAAGGCTAGTATCTTTCTCTGGATTTTGAGAGGGTCAGAAATTAGTGTTTCAATCCCTGTAGGACATCTGGGGAGCTGTCAAGCAAGGCTGGTGCCAGGTTTGGAGCTTCAACAACCTCAAGTTCACAGCCATCAGTGAGTCCAACGCACAGAATTCTGTAGGACACAGTAGCCGGGGCCCCAGGTGTTTCTGAGGCTAACTCTTTATGGGAGTAGAAAGCCTCATCTTTCTCCCTGGGAGCAGCTGGTGGGGTTGAACTGCTGAAACACATGCCCACTATACTTCCAGGGCTCCTGGCTGTTTGGGGCTTGGGGAGGATGTCATTTTCTGAAGGTCAGGGCTACCATATTTGACTCTGAAATAGGCCTGCGGTGGGGACACCGCCACCTAGATTCTATTATTAATACTTTTCTCAAGCTGCTATCTTGACCTGCTGTCAATCATACCAAAACCCCGCCCCCAGCCCTTCCTGCCCACCTGTCGAGGCAGTTAAGCCCTGAGTGTGCAGATAGCCTGGCTCGGGCCAGTGGGTCAGCTCGGCTTTCCTGCTATTCAGGGAGTGACAGATGGATTTTGGAAGCACTGTCTTCCCTAGTCTTTCAGGAAAGGAGCCAGGAAGCCCAAGAGTCAGGGCAACAAACACATTTCCTCTGTGTCCAGTAAACCACGTTTTCGGGTGTCTTCTCCCTGCCTGGGGCAGTCCGTGGAGGGTACTTTGGAGGACAGTGGACGCTACCGCTGCTTCATGCCCAGGCAGAGACATGACCCCTCACAGGGACTTCTGGCTTCCTGAGGTGGGGGGTGAGCTCCGTGTTGACCTAAGAGGAGGCAACAGGCAGATTTAATTTCCTGCTGCAGCAGCAGCAAGGGAAAATGACTCATGTGGGTTTCTGAGTTCTGTTGTCCACCGGGCATCCTGTATGCTTCCTGACCTTCCTTGCCCCTCTCCAGCCCTGCTCCACTCTGCTTCTCCGCAGCAGTGCCTCCCCGGGTGGGCATCTCCACTCACCTCTGGAGTCCTCTCTCTGAGCACTGAGACAGATGGGCCCTGGTCCAACCCTCGCTGGAAGCCCACCGGCAAGCTTCCCAGCAAGAGCTTTGCTATTCAGAACTTTTCAGGCTGAGTGAGTGAGTGAGTGAGAGAGAGAGAGAGTGTGTGTGTGTGTGTGTGTGAGAGAGAGAGAGAGAGAGAGAGAGAGAGAATACAAAGCATACTATAAGAAGGAAGGCCTTGAAGACCTAAACTACATGCCGAGCACTCCAAATTGGGTTTCCTGTGGGCAGACACCCCTATTTTCTAAAAGTCTGCCCACCTCAAAGGGCAGTGCCCTTTCTTTTTAAAGCATTGTTGTTGTTCGGCGCCATCAAGCCAGCCCTGATGCACAGTGATGCTGTGTGGCACAGAACAAAACACTGCCCACTCCTGCTCCATCCTTACAGCCCCGTGTTCATCCATTTCCCGAGAGCCTTCCTCTTGGCAGCTGCCCCTCTGCTTTGCCAAACATGATGACCTTCTCCAGGGACTGGTCTCTCCCGGCAACATGTCCAAAGTATGTCAGTGGGCAGCCGAATCCTTCTTCATTGTCAGTTCTTACTCTGGCAGCTCTGCCGAGACTTGGCCACCGTGGGGGGCCCTGCTGGCATTGGAAATACCAATGACATGGCTTCCAGCATCACCACCACACACAGGCCCCCACAGTGTGACAAACGGACAGACAAGTGGTGGGCTT